TATCACCCCACAACCTCCTTTATCACTTTCATTCTCTATCTCTACTCACTGTTATCACTCTTTTCACCTCTTTCACTCTCTACCCTCTCATCATCATCATTATCATCATCTCTACTCCTTCTACTACTCTCTTTCACTCTGTATCATCTCTATCACTATTATCAGATTAATCAGAGCTGTACAGATTGCAGAGTCAGCTATTCAATCTCATTCATGAATTCAAAGAGATATATATGACATCACATGAGATTTTATTACAGAGTATTTAGCAGTATATACTATAAATACAGAGATCAAAATATGATAGAGATAGTAAGAGAGAAGTAGAGATAGTAAAAGTAATAGAAGAGACTGTAGAGTAGTAGAGATAGTGAAAGTAATAGAAGAGACTGTAGAGTAGTAGAGATAATAATGATGATAGAGAGACTAGAGAGTGAAAAAGATGACAGAGAGAGATGATAGAGATGATAGAAGTGAGAGAGATAATAGAGATGATAAGAGAGAGGTAGAATGATAAGATGAGAGTAGAGATAGAGAGTGAAAGTGATAGAGAGTGCTGTGAGACAGTAGAGACAGTGATGATGATAGAGAGAGTAGAGGTGGTAGAGGTGATAGAGGTGGTAAGAGTGAGTGATAAGATGAAGATAGAGGTATGAAGTGAAAGTGATAGAGGGTGTTATGAGGCGTTAGAGGCGGTGGTGATGATAGAGAGTAGATAGAGTGATGCAATTGGCAGGCGCCACTACATATCCATGGATTTTTGATGGGGTGCATGTGATGTCACGTGAGGTCACGTTACAGGGCATTTTACTCGGAAAAGTTGGTTTTTCTATAATATATAGAGAGATTATTATTCTTCAATTATAAATGTATACAGTTAGAGACTATGATATCTATCTGAAAACTTTTAATTCTCAGAGTTTTTCTAATATCTATAAAGTTAACTATTATACATTTATCAATTTAAAATATATAAATCAGAAAATTTCAACTTAGAATATAAAAACTCTTTATAAATTGCAGTATTTTAGCATCTTCTGATACTTTGAAATTATTTAGAAATATCATGATAAAAGAAAAGAGAACAGAGTCTCAAGAAGAGATATATTAAATAAGTAGATAGAAAAGAACAGAAAAGAAAAGAAAGAAAAAAGTACAGTAAAGAGAGACTATAATAAAAATAAAAATATTAAAAGATTTACAGAATAAGATCTCTGCAGTTTACATCTTAAGTTATATACATATTTTAACATTCTATATAACTGACTGCTGTCTCTATTCTCTCAGACTAGACTAGCTGCTGAGATCATAAATTTTACATTTAATCTTTATTATTATTATTATTATTGTTCTTTTATTATACTTATATACAAGCAGAGCTTATAATAAGTTCTTATATAATGTTAAATACAGGTCAAGTGTTGATTATTATAAGAATAAGTGCTCGCAGGTGATTATTCAGATGTTTGCAGCTTGGCATGATATATACTGTTAACTACTAGAAGTATTCACAGTGGAAAGATAAAATATAGAGATTAAATATATAATAGTATTCAAGCTGAGTTATGAATAGTATTTGTAAACTTCAGTCTATATAGTTATATGTAGTCAAGAGTAGACTGACCGTGTGACCGTGTCTGAAATCAGAATCAAACTTTACAGTTATCATGTTATCTAAAAGCATTACTTCTGATCATGATTTATGTTCATTACATTGATCTCAAATCCTGTTATTTCAAATATTAAAGATCTCAGATTCACTTTTCAAATAAAAATCTAGTCTCAGATAAAGAATATATTTGAATTCTTAGTCACATTTTCATTCTGATCTCATTATTGAAAATGATATTAAATGAAATTATGAAATCATTTCTCACTTACATAATATCATAACATAGTGCTCATTTGTTAAAAATTCAATAGAGAGTATTATTAAATATCATTACTTTTCTAAACACAGATTATAATTAATATTATTTTAATTAAAAAAAAAATGTAAAATACAAAAAATAATAAAAAAATAAAAAATAAAATAACAAGAAAAAAATCACAATAAAAAAAAAAAAGAGAAAGAAAAAAAGAAGAGAAAGAAAAAAAAAGATAGAAAGAGAAAGAAAAATAAAAAAAAAGAAAAAAAAAGAAAAAAATAAAAAATAAAAATAAAAAAAAATCAAGATTGCAGAGCTACAGTACTCTTAAAATACTCACTTCTCAGAGTCTTTATAATATTCATCATTAACTGTGTATCTCTCACAGTGAGAATAATATAGCTGTGATAAGTCATTATCTTAATATTATTTAATAAATAATCAGTATATATCTATATAAATGTGAATAATTAGAAAACATACACTTAAAAAGTGTGGTCAGAGTGAACTCTGCTATCACTTGAAATAATATTAAGAATAGAATACTGAAATTGATGATTCTCTTCATCAATTTCATAGATAAGATGTGTGAAGATAATCTTGAGAAATATAAGATTCTCTGACTTCTGATAGAAACAGATCTTATAAAGAGACTCTATTTTCATTATATCAGAGATTGAGTATTATTAAAAAGCATTATTTCAATACATATGTACTTACTACAGTAATTCATTCTCTGTATATGTAACTGAGAATTATAGCTTTCTCATGCTGTATGACTCTCTCTGAGATGCTGCTGCTAGTTTGCAACTTACACAGTCTCTCAGTTCAGCACACACTGTATATATACAGCTCTGTATGCTGAGACTGTGTTGATTATTATGATCTGATATGATACTCACTTTTCACAGATCATATTTCATTTAATTGAGAGAAAAAGAGAACATAACTGCTGTTTTATTTAAGAAGAAATGAATAATTAAATCTGTAGAAGATAATTTAATTTCTTCTGTATTTAAAATTTGATTAGTCTATACTCTTTAATTTGAGAATTTCTGAGAGTGTTTTAATAGTTTTCATATTAGCTTGAAATTAGTGATTGATTGAAGAAGAGAAAAGAGAGAAGAAAGAAATGAGAATAACTTGTCTTTATAATATAAAAACAGAGAATTACTGTAATTATTTATTCTAGTAATAAAGATCTGTTTTCTGTATGTATCTCTCATACAGATTATATGATAACTGCATATAAAGAATATCAACAGTGTATGTATTGAATGAAGATAATATTATTATACAACACTGCAGCTGTTTCTGTACATCACTGAAAGCTGTTAATATTTTCTTTAAGTCTCTTTATAT